CGGTATACCACATTTCATGAAAATATTTTACAATGCGTTTCCTCAGAACTACGGCCTTTCCTTACGCCAGCTGCCCCATTGGAACCCAATCTCTCGCCTACTTAGACGATTAACTTCGACTACGTCGAAATTCATGCTGACGACCACCGATAATCTTTTCTTGCATAGTTAAACGTCTTATTACTCGATAGTTACAAGTTTATCCGCGTCTTTTGAAAGAGGAACAATTAAATTATGCTATTTACACTACACAGCAATTATTTCTTATTCGAATTATAATTTAGTTGATCGCTCAATGCTTATTTCTACCTCATGTTTGTATTAGTTCTGCCGCAATTTGATCAATACCCTTTCATATTTCGGACAATCGCCAACTTAAAACAACTATATTCACTTACTAGTGGGTATTTGCAACGTCACCAACCACATGCAGATTTAATGAAGTGCATTTTATAATTACTCAAAATATTGCGGTAATCTACGTATAGACTGCATTATTTACTAAACTACTTCTAAATCAGCATGTTTCTACACACCTCTCTAATATGTCTGTTGCTCTAAGACCATTAATTGCATAATTAACTAAGCGTTATAAAAATCACAAACAGTATTAAAAAAAGAATGATAAAACAAGATTACACTGATACGTCTTTAGAGTTGAAAATAATTTACTCGAAACTAAGAAACAGAGGTCATAGTAAAGTATAAGCTGCATTTAACAAGAAAACACTACGAAAAAGAGAAACATTTCCTTACTTACCAGAAACTGCGTTGCCTGCACCGGTGCCAAGAGCAGAATGAAGAACCAGACCTCTAAAAAATGACGGTAAACCGGTCTAACAAGAACGGGGTTGAAAGTCGTTCTTGTTCATGACGGGGGCGGAAGGAAAATGGGGGTAGGGACCAAATGGTATCAAAACAGAACGAATGACAATGCACAAGGTGCATGTAAAGTCTCGCCACCCCAAATAAATGTTTCTGTATTATCAACAATGTTTAACTTCGCCCTCGAAGCCGAGAGACAATAATC